GACTACGATGACCTGGATGACTGAGAACCTTCACAGACAAAAGGCAAAGAAACAGAGTTTGCACAATTTTACGAGCCTGAAAGTCAATATTTTGTATGACGACTTTATTCTTCAACACAGCCTGAACTCTCAGGCAGTTAATTTAGGCATTGTTGTTTCTTCAAACAGTCCTCAGGAATAGTTCTCCAGGCTTCTTGTAGGACATTCAAAGCTTTTCTTCGGATGTTGGCTGCCTTTTGTCCTGTTTTTTGTCAAGATGACCACACTCATCATTAATCCCATGATTTCAATAATGGAAAGTTCTCTGTGGAGGCCAAACCATTACTGATAGTGTTTCATTGGGAATTTTTATATTTTTATTTTGGCAGTATGCTATGCTAAAAAGTGAAACTGTTGCTAATCAAACACTTTCCAGTTAATATTGGATGGTGGATCTAAAATCTAATGTTACCTTTCTGCATTCGTGACAAGATCCCCAACACGACTAACTAAAGTTCACCCCCGAACCATGACAGAGCCTCCACCGTGTTTAACAGATGACTTTATAAACTTGCTGTTGTACTTCTCTCCTCACCTCCAGGTGACAATTTGAGCCCAAAAATTCAAATTTGGATCATCACTCCATAAGACCTGCTGCCACTGATGCCAAGTTCTTGTATAATTTAGTGTATCTCAACCTTTTCTTCCTGTGTACTTCCTCTGAGACCATCTCTGAGGCGTCACTGAACAATAGACAGATCGGTTGAGAGGCCATTTCTCTAGTCCTGTATTAGGTTGTTGCAGGATTTTGTTCTCTTTCTTAAGAACATCGGTCTCAGATGCTGTTCATCTGCTGTAGGTTGTTTTTTGGGCCTGCCACTTCTTCTTTTGTCCTCCACTTGTGCAGTTTTCTCAATTTGTTATGGACACACTGCAGACCACACCAAGATATGCCAAGTTTTCAGCTAAGAACTCTTTGGGCATCAGCTTGTTGGTACAAAAATACTATTTTATGCCTGTCAAACAGTGTTTTCTTTGGATTTTTTTAAACTAAAGAAATGGGAACAAATGACATACTTTGCTGCCTAAAGATACAAAAAAATTGGTTCTTTGCTAAGTTGTCTGTTATGCGTCAACACATACATTTCATCCCTAGAGTTAGGTACCTTTATGCCTGAATGATTCATGGGTCATTGTTAAGTGGCTTAACAAATCAAACCCTGTGAAAAAAGCCAGGTATGAAAATGAGTAAAAAATAAGGCAATGTCCAAGTAAGAAAGCCCGGCGAACTACAGCTTACAATCACACCAAGCCTGGCTCAAAACATACAGACAGGAGGACTGTCTAATACAGTACACTGGCAGTGTTTAGGATTTCATCCACCCAGTATTCATTTGCAATTTGTCATCATTTCTATAGTTGGCCTAAAGGTAAAGAAGGCCCACTCACTTGCTTTTTCTGGAGCTTTCACCTTTATCGCATGCTGTATGTTGTATCATTACTGAGCTCGTGTTAGTAGATTCACTTGTCACATGACCAGACTCCATCTGTTCATGAAGCTTTACCAGAGAGAGAAGGTTGTTAGCATGTGTCAGTCACAGTTCACTAGTTGATTCATGGAGCTGAATTATAGAGGAGTACAAAATAAGTAATTCTCCTTATTGGTTTGTTTCTACCATATTACTGTGCCTGGACTGTAATACGTCTATCAACCACTGTTTCAGCTGTCTGATGTAAAGGTTCCAGTGAAGGCAGTCACTCCTGACTGAGCAGTCATTATTAATATCACAGGATTTACCTCTAAAGTTGAAATATATGCGTTTGTATACTTTGGCAACTCCGTTTGAATATAACTAAGATTAAGAAGAGACGTTTTGGGTATTGCATTCGATAACATGATGGTTTTTTTTAGAAATATATGGCTGTAAATTGTATGAGACAGATATTTTGCAGTCTATGCTTTGAAGAGCCTCGAGGTATTCAGCAGCTGAAATTGGTTCAAGTCCAAAACAATTTTCAAAAAAAATGGCAACACTGTGAAAAGCAATAGAATTTCAAAGTGAAGGTTGTGACCCATCAACAATGTTTTTTATATATAAAATATATATTAACACGAACACACACAGACACACAGACACACACACACTCGCAGAGAATGAATGAACAAACATATCTAATACAGGCCTCAGTTTATGGTTTTCAATGTAGGCTCTAGTAGATAGACAATGTGTTTAAACTAATCGTGCACAATTGCCCATGTCTTCCCTTTAATGTTATACTTTGTTAAAGTTTTCTTTCTCTTGTACATTTGCCATTTTTTAGCCATATTTCCCAGCACTAATGCTCAGGTCGCCTGCTGTGAGCAGCTCTCTGGAGATCATCACACAGTATCTCCATACTGAGTTGAGGTCTGAGCTCCTAAAAATGATTTTTCTTTGTTTAAAGACACTCTCTTGAAGCTTTACTTTGATGTTTAGTGTAATTATCTCACTGTTCTGCTGAACTTTATAACCACTCTGATATTCTTCTTTAAATACAGCAATGGTCTTGAGGACAAAGTTTTCTCTCAATATTGGAAAACTGACACAACTCCAAGACCACAAAGACGGAATCAGATCAAGATGCTTCATCTCACAGTGTAACAAATAGCAGTAAGAGTGGAATCAGTGCTTTTATCTAATTTTAAAACAGACAATTAATCAAATTTTCCGCTGCTCACAAAGGTTTAAATTTCATACTGCAAACTGTGCATCGTCTTGCTTTTTTACAAGAGCTAATTGTTATGTGCTCAAGGATCTGTGTGCTTCATCAACAAGCTAAACACAAAGACGTTTATGGACTTCTATACGAGTATAAATAATAAAGCAATATGTTACTCCATCTGTTAGGATTTAAAATAACTTGATTCCGTCTTCATGATTGTTACCAATTCTATAAAAATGACAAAAGCAACACAGTAGATTTCTGTCCATGATGAGTCCTTGTGGAGTTTTTTCCCCTGTTTCTCTGATCACACGCTCAAACTTCTTGCTGAGCCCAGATGGAATCGGTTGGGGGTGAACACTCATGCCAGATATCAAATTTGAAATCTCAAATCTGCCTTGTATGAATCACAGATGAACACAATATGGATGGAAGTGGATTCAAAACTAAATGGAATGAAAAAGAACTCCGGGTTGGTTGGAGTACTGGTCTCCTAATGGAATAAATTAAAAATAGGCTTGTGCAACATGACTGTTTAAAGTCACGACGTGCCTCACTCATGTGCAGAGAAGGAAATATTGAAGTGTTTTCTAAGTGTGTGTGTGTGTGTGTTTTTTCCATTTCTAGAAAAATGTCAGTCATATTTTTATCACAGTTTTATTATAAAAATTTATTTGGGTCTTTGTTTTCTTCAAATTACTTTTTTTAATCTGAAAACTCTGTCGAGACCTTTTAAACTTGTGGTTAGTACAGAAGTGATATTCATTCTAACCTAACCTAATTCAAGGTGTCATTCACACTAGTAAGCCTTAACTTGATTCACACTACTGTGCAAAAGTCTTTCCTTTATAGTTTGCTCATTTCTCTCATTTTTGCTTTACAGGAGCCAAACTTTGCTGTAGTTTTTAAGGAGCTCTTGAGCAACAGAGATTTTTCATATTCTGAATTTACAAAAATGTCAACATTAGTACAGTTTGACAGATATAAGGTAATATTTTGGTGATTCCCAAAGATCAATTTGCTGAAAACTTGGCACATGTCAGCGTAATGTGCAGTGTTTTTTTAAATTGGACAAGAAAGAAGGGAGAAGCCTGAAAACTATATACAGCAGGTGAACAGTATCTGAAAGTCATGCCCTTAAGAAATAGGGGAAAAAATCAACAAAGATACAGGACCCGAGAGATGCATCTGACCCTTCAGCTGATCCATCTACTGTTCTCTGAAGCCTCATCAGAAATGGTCTCAGTGGAAGGCTGGCTGTCAAGAAGCCCTTTATAAGGAAGGGAAAAGGGGAGGCTGAGGTGTGCTGAATTGCACAATACTGACTGAAAATCAGTGTCAAAGGGTCTTGTGTAGTGATGAATCCAAATTTGAACATTTTGCTTTAAATCATTGTCAATATGTATGGAGGAGGTCAGGTGAGAGCTCCAACAGCGAGTGTCTACAGCCATCTTTACAACACAGTGTAATGTCTGTCATGGAGTGAGGGAGCAGACCTTAATATTACTGAAGCAGTGTGGAACAAATATTAGAAATGTAATATAATTCTGCTCACTGTTTTGGCCCATGGCAGGTGATTGACATCAAAGAGAAACTCAAGGAGTCCAAAAGGTTCTGGTCCAACTTGCCAGATGACATCTGTGCCAAGGGCAAACTCACAGAGCCCGATGAGGAGCAGTGCTGGAACAGCCACACTAAGGGCAGGTGAGGACTTCTGGTACTCTTTATAAGCACAGCAAAGTCACACGTCTCTCCTGTTATCACATATTGCCTGCCAGGGATTAAAATAACCACACTCTGTTCAGAGATTATCGCTCGCTCTCTCTCTCTCTCTCTCTGTAAGTACAATGGGTTAGTACACTTATGGAGAACTTGTACAGTATATAATCCCTGAAGGCTGTAACACCCAGAGGAGAGAGGCGCTCCAACACTTCTTGTCACCGGCGTTCAGTTTGCAGTGTGAAGCTAAACCGTACAGTTGATTGGTCACTGTGTCGTGTCTGTAACAGTGAACCAGAGAAAATATATCAGCTCATCCCTTTAGCCCTCTCCAAGAAAGAAAATCAGCAGATGGTGCAATAAAAGACAATTGTTTGTGCCAGTAACATTTTTAAGCCCCACTCTAAATCTGGTGAGTAAATTGATAATAAAACATCAGTAACAGTCAAATTGCGTTAGAAGTGTGTAAAATCATTGGATTCTCTTCTTATTTGAAAACGGACTATGTCCAGCTCCGTTCACCTTTAAGTTATTAAATAAAATACAAAATGATTGGAGAAGATGATGAAGCACAGATTGCATCGCTGCAAAGCAGTTAAATAATTCTCGATTCACTAAGTTATAACAGACAAAACAGACATTTGTGTGCTTCGGGCATGTTAAGAGCTCTCTGTGTGAAGTGCAACCACTCCCAACATGAAATAGACCGTTAAGCCTGAATGCACTCCTGTGTTTTGTCTGATTTAAGCATCTGCCATCAGAAAGAACAGCTCTTGTAATTCTGTCTAATTTCACTTGGTCTACTTTGGGACTCAGCTTGTTGTCCCAAATCACATGCTGCATTTAAGAGATATGCCACATGTAAATTACCCATATGGAAGAGAAAAAGAAAAATCCTTGGTAAATAGTTATGTTTTCTACACATTATGTGTCTCGTGCTATGATCTACTAATTAAAGTGGCCATTTTCACCTTTATGTCATAAAACATGCGTAAAAGAACTGAGTGATTGTTACCTTCACGAATAAATGATTATATGAGATAAGCAGCCATGTGGAAAAGAAAGTTTTCACAGGACTATGAAGGAGGACTATACAGTTCTTTGAAATACTAATACACCAAGATTCAACTACCTGCAGTCGTAGTACTTTTAAGCACTTGTTTTCTGTATGTTCATGGTTGACCCATGACTGAAAGGTGTCCAGGGCCCTGTGGCAAATAAGAGAAGTCATGTTCGGTCTTTTCTAACTGCAGTGTTAATAACTTTAACTTTTAACATGCTAATTGAGGCCTGTAGAGTCAGAGAGGTAGCTCTTGGATTTTCTGTTTATTTCTCTGAGAATTGCTCGGTCTGACATTGGGGTGAATTTCCTGGGGGTTTCCACTCCTGGGAATATTGTGGCATTGTTTTAACCTACCATCAAACTGCCAAACTTCTGCTCTTATAGAGGTGCTCACGCTTGCTGTTGATCAGTAAGTAAATTTGGTTTCTGGTTGCCCTCTAAATCCCTATGGAAACAGTAACAGTGTACTTAGTTTTTAACAGGACTTCAAAGAGTTTGGTGAAAACGTTCTTTTTCACACGACTGTATAAGACTACAAGACTTATGTATATATGAATATCACATTAGGGATATTATCGGAGGGATTTCTTTATTCTTCTGTGTGATATAAATAGGAATGCTTTATTCTCGGTTTGTCTGTCAGTGTGCGTGGTCCGAAGTTACACAGTGTTAAGCTCTGTGAGCCGCCTCACAGTAGATTTAGTGTCAGTGATGATGGCTTTCTGTTGTTGCAGCCAAATTATCAAGCATACATAGAACAACATAATTCATGAATATTTTTCATAAACATAGTGATAATAAATTATTTACTAAATGATGTGTCAGTATAGATTTTTTACATTAGTTTATTTATTTAATTATTTTTTTCCATCAGTTCTGACTTGACTGTCATCAACATGTGTCCCCAAATACGCGACGATACTTTCAAGTTTTTTGATGTGTCGCTGTGTCCAGATATTTTCCTGAAGTGGTGAAGGAGGGGCTAACCAACCAGGTGAACAACCCAGAGGTGGAAGTGGATATCACCAGGCCCGACACGCTGATTCGGCAACAGATCATGGCGCTACGTGTCATGACCAACAAGCTGAAGAACGCATACAACGGAAATGACATCTACTTCCAGGACTCCAGTAAGCTTTCTTATTTGCTTATTTTTGCTCTCTATCAATTACACACACGCTCACAGCTCAATCTGTGGGTCAGCATCTTCGCCGCGGATGTTTTGACATGTAGACTGACAACCCACTCCAGAGCCTCCCCTTCTGCGGGTGGAAGCAATCTAACAATAAGTAAAATAGATCAAGAAAAGCTTTCCCTCACTGCATGTTACTTTTGATATGGACTACATTACACCACACGCGGCACTGTGACAAATATATACACTGTTACTACTGAAATAAGATCTCAGTTGTCATTCATGTAGGAACTCAGTATACAACTCTGCAGGATGTTTAGTGTTGCACTGAAGCAAGACTGACATTTATTAGGAGAATAAATAGCTCTAGGTGCGGTGACACAGACAATGACAGACAGCCAAGCCTATGTTTAGGAAGATGTACATCTCAAATGGTGCTATGACAGAAACCATTCTTTCTGATTCTGTGGATCCGCTTAAGCTGACAAGATGGGAGAAATTCTGCGAGCTACAAACAAAACATGTGGCTGCATGACTGCTGCCACCATAATTTGTACTTCAGCTCCATCTTTGCTGCTGTCATGTTTGTTTTTCTCTTGGGAGCGGTGTCTACTTTAACATCGTAGATCCGACGCTAAAGCGCCCGAAATTATTGCATAGGTTGGCAAGGGAAGCAAGAAAACCGTAAAAAAAAAAAGGACGTTTACGCGTGATTTGTTGGTGAGACTTTCCCCCGCACTTTGCCGCTCACAATCACATTTCCCACCATTTTAAACTGAGCGAGGAAAGCTTGGCACTGTCAGTTGTAAAGGAAACTTTTACACCAGCACTTGAGATCAGATAATCAAACAGAATTGCCCTGAGAAGCAGATCTTTTCATGGCTGCTAAGTAAATCTTTGTATGTTTTTAAAATTGAGGTCTGTGGTTAACTTTGACATGTAAATTTGCCCCACTGAACAATAGGAACTGTCTCGACAGTACCTTTGAAGGAGCCGAGAGTCCAAAACAGACAAAAGTATCCCAGCTCATTAGCTTTGTTGTACCGTTCACTTTAATTTTTAACCTCACGCTGTCAAGCTGTTCCAAAAAAAGAAGCCGGCATGTGTTGTACAAAAAAATTGAACTCAGTGTCTCATTAGGTACACAAGCCGGCAAAGTCTTAGTTCAACAGCTGCTTTAGCCATACAAGTAGTCATTAATAAGGTGTTCAGCTTATGTACCCCCAGCTCCTCAGATCGAAGAAACCCTCCTGAATTACCACAACGACAAAGATCATGTGCAGACTCCGTGGGTCACCTTCCCCCGAATCAACAAGTAAATGCATGTGGAGGCAATATTAGGGTAATGAGTAAAGAAGTGCTTGTAGGACATTTGAGAAAGTCTGTGAAATTTTAATCATAACATATTTCAGCCTTCTTTTCCCATCATACTTTGAGGTGCTAGAACAATTTACAAACTCATTTCTCCTCCTGATTTTAATGGTAGAAAGCAGGCATTCACTGACAAGAATGGATTGTACTGCTGTATTTAAATTCAGATTTCATAGATTTTCTTTATGTATTTGCATAATTACCCTGTACAATAACACCAAGTGTATTAGATTGGATACTGTTTTTATACTGTCAGTGTCATTTTTTTAAACCCTAACCTTAAACCCTTGTATGTTTTAGTTTATTTAAGATAATTAAACTGTGAGCAATAAATTGGACAAAAAAGTCAGATATAGCACAACTGATACGAATTAAAACTAGTATGCAAATTGATATTTATTTATAAAAACTTTAGATTTTTCTGGCATTTGTTTCATGGTTCAGGCGCTATAGGGTAAAGAGCTTGTTCATCAGCGAGAGTTTAGAGGATACTTTGTATCTTTATGTTCACTGTAACAACTCCAGTGCTTAAAGTTTGCTGTTGAGCAATTAACCAAACAGTTTTCCGTTCATACAAAACTGAACTGAATAGTTGAAGCAGCTGCTTAAAACCTGCTGTTGAGCTGAAGACTGCAAGAATCTGTGCCAAAGCTGAAAGCGTCACAACCTTCAGTCGCTCACTAATCTAAATACTGAGGGTTATTTAAACAGTGATGCTACAGCTTTGCCAGGAAAAATAATAATAATAGCATAGTAGATAGTCAGTAATTGTGAATATTTGAACTGAACAAAACATTTCAAACAACCGAAGCGACTAACCAAATTATAACACCCACTGTTGAATATATCAGTAGGATGTGTGTGGGTGAGCTTTTTGTTTCTTCTTTTTCTGCCACATTCTCGTGTGACCGGGGCTCGATTGTGCGCTTTCTCTTCCCCTCTGCAATGAACCTCACTCGGTAGCTGCTTCTGATAATGTTATTTTCATCTAATTTTTAATTTGTGTTGCTGCAGGTGACGAGGGCAGCAGCTCCGGCAGCGGCAGCGGTTGCTCCGACGGCTGCACAACAGAGTATATTTTTGTTGGAACAGAGGCTCCTGTGATCGGAGCTGACAGAAGCGATGAGCGCGCAGCAGCCGCGGGCAAGTCAGTTTCCTGCGGACCCTCCGTACTGCTGCTGACGGTTGCCCTCACACTCCCGCTTTGGGCGATGCAGACTCAGTGGAGATAATACAGTGTGGCCCGCATTACCGCTGACTTTTTTTTACTGTTACGTAACAGTATGTCTAACAGCAAGTTGTACTGCTGTTCCCTCACTGAACATGTAGAGCCTCCTGGAAACCTGTTGAGAATGGCTTACTGTATGGTGTGGTAGGAGTGAAAGTGAGTGCAGTGCTGCATCCCGCTTGTCCCCCAAAGAATGCTTGGTGCCATCAGTGAACCAGCTTTCACATCTCTGAAAATAAAGAAAATGTGTTTTCTCATTATTCTAAAGTGAGTTTTGGAGGGTAAAAAAAAAGCCCAAAACATCTTTTAGAAACGAAACCCTCTAAAGATGGTTCTGTCAGTGATTTTTTTGTTCCAGATAAAAGGGAATCTATTTTTCTTTTCCTTTGTATGATGAATGGAGAAAACGAGATGACACCTATTTTATCCTATTAGTCTTCTCCCCCAAAAGGAAAAACAAAATCAAAAGGAGAAAGTTTTACTGTGTGCATGCGTGGATATGATGTTAACTGACAAAACATTATTGTTTTTTTCCGTTTTTATGCAGGCTACACAGTTTTTTGGAGTGATTGTGCAGGTTGTACAGTGCTAGCAGTTCGCCTGGTTTCCCGTTTGGTCATATCGACGTGGCTTCAGGAAGCAGCAGGTCTTACAGCCACTTTGTTGTTGCACATTTGATTATCTCTTGAGAAAGTGCTATCGTACTGCACTAAGAGAACTACTTTGCACAGATTATTTTTGTTGGCTTCATAAGTTTCTACAGCTACAGGAAACATCCACCCCACAGAGAAAACGATCTATATTTTCAGATCATTTAATTGATTGTATTGTACTTATAAGCAGTTACAGTATGTGTTACAGTGGAAGGTACTGTAATGTAATCTTACTGGCAATGGATACTTTTTTTTAACAACTGTGTCATTGTTTCTACAAATTATTTGATCATCTGTTAAATAAAAACTAAGAATGGTTCTGCAGCAGCACTAATTGCCTGTTAACAGCGTTCAGGTATCTAATTTACTTTCGTCTGTCTGGGTAGTTAACATGCACTCACGCTGGTTCTGTTATTCTCAGAGGACTTGGAGGAGAGTAATAATAGATATATCCTTATGAAATTTTAATTTCTTTAATTTTCTTGGCTGCCACACTGATGAATTTTGCTTTATGTTACTTGTTTATTTGCATACATGTAAAGTTACCAGTCGTAACCTCTGATATCCTCTGCTGGTTACCCCTCATGTCTTGCAATGCATCATACTGAAATTTGCATGTTCTTTGGTTAATGAGAGCAGACCTATGCCCCCTACAGGCTACATGTGGTGTAATTGGTCGTGTTCTCTTAGAGGACGCGAACAAAGTCAGCAACTTTTAAAAAAGAGTTCCAAGGCCAGAGGGCTCCAAATGTACTCCTACAACTAAGGTAACTATTTGTAACTTTCATTCTGTGTCCTGCAGGCTTTGACCTTTAGCAGACTCAAGAGGCTCAGGGAGCAAAGCACTTCACAAACACAACACAGTGGTTGATGTCGAACTGTATACCAGAAGGGTTCATAGCTGAGTGAAAGGCTATAAGTGGCGGCCATAATAAGAACTGGTCACATTCGCCGAATGCTAAAGTAATGCACTTCCTGTTCTGTCTCCTTTAGCATGAGATGCACTGCACCATACTTTATGAAAGGAAATGAGTTAATGCTGTCTCTCAGTTCCTCGGGGTTTGAGCGCACGCAGCCGTTATTAATGTGAGCACGCTGTTGTTTCAGTTTAATAACTGTTAGCCTGCAGTCTTTAAAGAAAAAATTCAATTCCAACATTGGTCAAAAAAATTTTTTTTTTTAAAAAGCACGCTTTTTCATTGAACTGACACTTTGTCTATTACATCATGCCAGATGACCTCACCTTTTGCCCTGTGTCAGCTCGGATAGGCTCAAGCCCTACCTAAGTGTTCAAGAAGGACTTTTTTGTTATACTAGAGAAACGATAGTTTTAAAGTACTCAGCAACAACTTGATAACACCAATCTGCCAAGTGAGATTCAATTAGCACTAAGTTCTAAGTTCTCATTAATTCTCCTCCACATTTTACCTCATGACATTTTCTATTAAGATCAAGGGAAAGGGTTTAGAAAAAAAGATGGGACTTTTTTTTTTTGACAATTCATCTGCAACTAATGGCTTTAACATCTAGTCGCAGAGAAATGTAGCTTTCGGATACAATATCTTGCAATATGTAGCGTGAATATTGTTGAAGCCATCACGAGTGTGCCTGGAGGATTGAATCTCATCAGCTCATAAGTACCTGAAATGTTTTCACAATACACAAGCCCATTACTTCAACAGAGACCTTCCAGTAAATACACAAATAGACAAATCAATAGCAGCTATGAGCAGCTAAAGAGATCTTGTGTTTCATGTACAAAAGCTTCATAAAGAAAATTCGGGGCACGAGTTTTCCTCGTCTCCACAGCATGAAGAGGGGATAGAAAAGCACAAAGTTTGTGCAAGCGTCACGGATCTCTTCACAGAAAACACCATGAGGGAAATCTACCCTCGGTGTGCTCATATGACTCACGAAAGAGAAACTGAGCACCACAGGAAGCTCCCACAGTTGACCTCTTTCACCTCACTTCTTATCGAAATGGTTTTAGGATAAGGTGACTGAACAGCAGCCTCCTACTTAAAAAAAACACAAAAAACCCAACAGCATAGCAATTAAATCACTGAACAGCAAACCTTATTTGTGTAGCACAACACCTGTGTTTAACCAAAGCACGACTAAAGACAACACTGAAGTGATTAACGAAAGACCACCCAATAACTAATTGTGCACTAAGCAGATTAATGCAGAAACATGAAGGAAGAGCAGTTCCTTTCACCTGTCATCAGAACTGGTTGAAAATCACAAGGGTTCACCCTGACTGAGGTGAAACGTTAGCGCATTGAGCAAAACAAAAGCTGACAAGTAAATCGTAAACAGATTTGGAGGATAAATCATGATGCAAAACAAGCGTGTGACATATGAAGAGACTTTAATCTTCTTTCTATTACTCTATAAAACAAGCGTATAAACATTTTCCTCACTGGGTTTATATCTAATGGCGTTTTCCATCCTTTCACAGTACCGCTTTTATTTTAATTACTATATGTCATCCCATTATGCAGCCTGATGTGTGACTAAACATTTAGCACTATCTGCTGTTTACCCTAATGCTTAGTTTCTAATATTCACATGACAGCAGGGGGATAGAAAACAAAAAGATGTGTTGTGCTTGGTTTTTTTTTGTTTGGTTGGGTTTTGGGTTTTTTTAGAAATTTCTTTAAAATGTGCTGTACATCTGGATACAAAATGGAACTACCGACTACATTCTTTGCTAAGACAAATCTATAAAGAAACAGTGTGCCTGAACTCACTCACTCTATTTATCTATCTACATACATATATATATATATATGTGTGTGTGTGTGTGTGTATGTATAAAATCCGTTTGTGTTTTCCTTCTATGCTGTGCACTCAAAAATGTCTAAATGCCAACATGCAATGTGCCCCAATGCACAGTTGTCAAAATAACCATTTTGCAGCTGGCAGTTATGGTCCAGTGAGGGTCTGAGATCATAGTTAATACTCTAATGAGTAAACTGCAAAGCACCCATTAAAAAGGGAGTAGTGAGGCAACACTGGGGTGATTTCTACCAGTGTTAATTAGTCACCAACAATGCCTGGAAGCAGCCCTGGGAGACTGAGAAGACTTCCCCAATACCCACCAAAACTGTGCATGCAGGAGACCCGTCTACGTTCGCTTCACTGCCATAATAACTGAGCAACTCATTGGTGCCGGAGAGAGGATGCGATGCACATTTTAAAGCCCCGAGTTTGAAAAGGTACATGGAAATTTTTAGTGCACACTAAAATGGATGACTGAGCAAGTCTTTGGAGCCTGTCAAGGTCAAAGCCTGTATGAGATGGGACGAGGGGTGCATTGGAAACTTTAAACATAAACACAGTTAGATGACTCGACTGCGTTTAAATCGTTTTTATACAGAAGTTATACGAGTCACTGTGTTGCACTAACAGCTTTTTAAAATTGCTCACGTATCCTGCGGTCACAGACAGACGACCAGCAGAAGCATCAGCTGCTGCTGTTTCAGTGGGTCAGACGGGGAGTTGAGAGGACGTCACGCTGTAACTATTTATAACATGGTGAATGTTGAATTAAATGCCGTTGAAGTAACTAGCTGTCAGTCCTGTGCAGTGCTGGTTTTCCTCATCTTTACTCACCCAGGAGTACCGCCCTAAGGACGCGATAATTGAAGTGAAGGAGGTTTCATGTAAAAGTCATGGTTTGTTACATGGAGGCTGTTGAAGTGTGGACTGATAATTAATTTTAGCTCTGGACGTTTACACTTAAGCGAGAATATCTAGAACGTTTCGACCGTAATGGCAAAAATGTTTTTTCCTTGTCTTTTTTTTTTTTAACGCGCTTTGTGTTTTGGTGATTTCATAATTGGCAAATTGAATGAATATGCTGCTCAACAGGAATAAAACTGAATTATAAGTGCAAGTTAGTGGGTTTTACTTGGAGTCAAACGCAGCCAAAACATCGTGGAGGCAGATATTTCTGAGTCAGGGTCGGTAGTGAGGCGGAACAATCAGTGCAGTGTGTGCTTGATAATAAGGCAGGAAGTTAGCCGTGTGGCTTCAGATACGGGCATTGTTTAAGCTTCTGCACTGCTGCTCCTCAGTGGGGCTTAACAGCTCAGTTTTATTTCTCCAAAGTGTAAAAACTCAAAGCATCTGCAGCTACACAAAGGTCGAATGCACCCATTAGAGCCTCTACAAGATCTGTGACTGCAGCAACAAGAGTTTTTGGATGACTAAGATGAGGCTGGGCTTTAGCAGTGTTCTTCAGACAAAGTAAAGAAAGTGAATTAAGAGAAGAATGTTTTGGAAGTTCGGTGCAGTTTTTTCCAAAGAGCTTGTGTCTGTCTAAACAACAGTGTTCTCTCATTACAAGAGGAATGTCTGCCATTCTCCACTGCCTTGTGTACTCCCCTCTTTCCTGGCGTGATACGTTACCGCGGTCAGACACGCATTCACAGTTTGACACGATTCAGCGCTAAACTTGTTTTGTTTTTGTTTTTCTCTCATTCATTCATTTTGGCATTTAAAAAAAGGGGGGGAAAAAAGGTGATCTGAGGTTTTTAAAGAGTGTTTTATGCAAGAATCTTCATTTTGATGTTAATCATTTGCTGCACTTTTGCTAAAACATATGCTGTGAGTGTGGTACTGTTGTGATTTGCAAAATCTGATAAATAAGGAGCACATCAAGCGTTTTGGAAATGTCGGTGCACGTTGTTCAAAGTTTTTTTTGGTGGGGGAGTGGGGTGGGGGGTGGGGAGGGGTCGAAGTTGATGGTTATACAAGCAGACATGCCTTACCATTTTTTAAAAGACTAAAATGGATTGCTTATTTGGCTTTTGTTACACATTCTTGTATACAGAAAATAATACAATGTTAAAAATAAACATTTATTTAAAAAAAACTTTTCTGGGTTTCTTTTCCCATGTTGCTGTGTATTTCTTTTTATTGCTTTACTGTGGATCCATGCCTCCAATGTTTGAGAGACTAGGAAGAAAAATCAGATCATTTATTTCTATGCTGCTTTCAGAGTTTTAGCATTTCTAAATTGGCTTCAGATGTGTTTAAGCTAATATATGTTTATTTTTTTCCCTAGAAAATCAGCCAGCCTTGCATATAACAAGGACCTCCCCCTACTTTTTGTTTCCCCAGGCTGATTTATAGAGAGCTTCCACATTTATATTACTACTGTATTAACAGGTGCAATTCTCAGAGCATAAATTACCATTTAAAAGATACAAAAACATTTTATTCATGCAAATACCTTTGAATTACAGATGATTACCTTCCAGATATCTTTGGTGGAAGTGATAGTTTCATGGCTTCTGACCAGACAACTGTAACAAATACACTATATGGACATGGACATATGGCTATGAATACACTATAAGTACTGAGCCAGTTACTTATTACAGATACAGGAGCTGCTCATGCAACGTAGCTCCTGGTGCACGGCTTTTGTGCTGATGTTAATGAACACAGGAGGTTAAACGCTTCCATTTTATAATAATACCACCTGCAGTAGGAATACCAAGAAGGGGAGAAACCTGTTGTGATGGTGGTATCCTATCACGCTCAAATTAGCAGTGTTTTTAAATTAATATGTTTGTAAAGGGATTGACACATGATTTTGTACATCACTGCCAATGGGACTAAAAATAAAAAAATCAAAGATTAGGAGATGTGGCCCAATACTTTTGTCCATATACTGTATATATTGTATATGCACAAGACTTTTTTTCACAATAGGATTACCTATTGTCAGTTACTCTTGAATGGTATAGGCAGCACTGTTAATTGGAAAATATGAGTGAAAAATAGATTACCTAGTGTCAGTTAAACTGTGTTACAATAGTTATGCATTTGCCTGTCAACTAGTATCTGTGTCTAATACAGAACTGCTTCAATACTAAGCAGTATTTAGAAAATCTAATGAGCATCTTCAACGGTTAATAAGATAAACCTGCAGTAGAACACAAAGGAAGAATGCACTCATTAAAAATATGGTCAGTTTTCACAGCTGACATTCTGACTTGTTAAAGTTTGAAAAGCACCCGTTATTAAGATTATTTGCCTTTCAAACATGACAGTGCTTCAACTGGAAAAATCCCTTAAAAAAAACTTGCATCAGCTGAATAGAAATCAGCTGTGATGCATTTTATCTGCACTTGTAATTTCCTCACTGTGACATGTCAAATTGTCTTCTCTAGAGTTGCATGCTTCTCCTGGTCATGTAAAGCAGCCCAAAAGGGAACCTAATGAGAATGCTTTGCATGACTGGCATTTCATTATTACCAAGCAATTAACATCTACACACACTAACTCGAGCTTGTCTCGGGGTCTTAAACACAGTATGATAATGCAGTGCTAACATTTGAAATAATTATCCTGACATATGACAAAAAACAGCATGTTACAGTTAAATCTCTACCAACTGGAAAACCTTCAAACCAAGCACGACAGTTTCTTCTGTTGTTGAACTAACGTGGCTATAATCGTGTTAGGGTTACCTTTCAGAGGGCAGATTGTGTTAGGATTTGCATATCAGGTTATTAAAGCAGGACTGCAACACAAGAAACTTATTTCCGCTAAAGTATGGAGATCTTGTTTTGGATGTAAATGCTTTGGGGAAAGTATGTTCAGAGGTGGAGCAATTATAGTTCCTGGTTAAATTACAGACCCATGCTTATAAAATGAATTCCCTTTCAAAATTATTACTGCATGAAAACTAATGAATTCAAATGAAGCTCAATTTAAAAACAGTCTGGTCCGCCTTTTCTTTCACTTGATTTGTACCATATTAACACTAACTTACTTTTGTCACCCAAAAGGCTCATGTCCTTTATTCTCACCAGTTTCAGACGGGGTGATATTCTTTTGCACACTAGGAATGTGACAAAACAAATTACTTGTGATATGCTTTGAGACTTACTCTGGCACTGGGAGTTGAATATTCAAAACTGGAGAAAAAAGTACAAATATTAAAAAGTATTGATCACATTTGGTAGCGATTTAAGCAAATGCTCAATCTACCAGCATCATCACTCAGAAAATAAAGTACTTTATTATTGTGCCTTTTAGGCTTTGACAGCAAGGGGCGGTACAAGTTAGTGCTGCTGAACTCTTGAGAGCAGGTGCTTCTTTGTATCCTTTCTGTATTGTCACCAGAGGTTCAATACTGAAGACCAGTCTTAACCTTATGGTTTTGTACAACAATCGACCTTTTAGAAATGGTGGAAAACCGAGTATGCTGGGTACCTGAAATCACCATTTAACGTTCAAGCAATTGAACTGTAAGAGGAAAGTGAAACACCTGGAGAAAAGATAGAGAACAAGTGCAAAACTCTGCACCACAATGCTGCTGATACAAGACAGTACGAAGCTACTCAGAATCTATTAAAACATAATAATAATTAAATACACAAAATAAATTTCCATTTAACTCATATAAATAAGGAAATGGGAAAACTTTAAAGGTACAGTGTTTTATATATTCCTGCTAGATCTCAGTAGATTGATCAGTTGCAGTCAATTGAATTCTGTTTTCTTACTCCTTCCAGTTTAAGTGCATACTCCTAGCTATGGTGGCCAATGCAGTGAAAGCTCTGGCTGCTGTTCATCTGTAATCAGCGTAGGCTGTCAGTCTGCTGTGTACCTCAGCTGTCAATGTGTGTCGTGTCTATTTACTCTGGAGGATGCTATAAAACTTTGTGTAAAGAGTCGATGAGTTAGTGAAGCTCACTTCATCCTAATAGCAGTTGTTGGTGATATTCTGAACTTTTTTGTAATGGTTTTAGCTGTCGTTAGCCGCTGTCGTTAGCCACTGTCGTTAGCCGCTGTCGTTAGCCGCTGTCGTTAACCAACATTAATGAAACTGTCTCTGAAGTTTATCTAACATTGTTGGACTCAGACACTTAGTCAATAACCTCTCAGGAAATTTGAGAATCTAATCAAACTGTTTATCAGAGGGCAAGTATGGTTTGTAGGACACTCAAGCCTAACATTAGCTGCCATTATGTTAGCTTATAACCAGCTGTTGTTGTTTAGCTGTTTGCTGTCAACTGTAAGGGGACAGGAAGAGTTGCCTGTCTAATCTGCTGATAATAAGTAATTCCGTCAATATCAGGAATAAATATGATGTTTATGCACATTTTTGTGTATTGGAATTCTGACCACTTCTGGAGATGAGGCTTGAGGTGAGGAGGAAGTGGATGAGGTGGAAATGAGGGAGCTGTGATGGAGGAGGAGAAAGGCATAATGAGATGACAATACACATGTACAAATGTTAGATGGTCATATATCGTTTGCAGCAAATATGTCCCCTTTGCTGCTTGGTAACAATAATGTAGTTTTTGGTCCATAAAAAATGCAGCTTTGTTCCAATAATGAGCCATATGGTGTAAATTGTACTGCACTCCTGTTTCTGAGGGTGAAAGATTAAGTGAAAGAAAAGGAGAAACAGGAAAGAAACCGGTAGCGTCAAGCGCCGTCGACCACAGGTGAGATCAATGCACTAACTGCTACTTGTAATCTATCAGTTGTCAAACCTGCCTCAGTGTCACATTTTGTTAGTGGAGGCAGCAGAACTGACAGAGAGTTTCTGACAGAGAAAAAAAGGCAGAAACGAAAAAACCCTGCTGCCTTGCTGCATTCAACACATCGGAGTAGCTCCCCCAAACATCCATTTATTCATTTTCACATGACAGTATCAATGGGGACAACACGAAACAGCTTCACATCTGAACCAGAATTATTCATTACAATCACGCTTTCTGTCTGTACAATTATTTATGTGCTTCAATTATGGATAAAGCAGTGTGAAAGGGCCAAACTCCAGATGAAATACAAAAAGTTTATGGATTTCAAAGGCAGAGCTGAGTTTTTCCTGCATGATCCACTTGATAATTTTGAATTGTTTTTAGAAAAAAAAACCTTGTGACTGTAAAAGGATTAATTCTGTTTCATTGTGGTGCAAACGAAATACAGTATGATGATGAAACGGCACTGAAATAAATGAAGTCACTTGCTCTATGCTTCATGTCTGAAGGTTCAGCAAAAAACAGGACTCACAGCCAAATTAGGTAAACATAAAGCTGACATTTTTAAGGTAGGCAGTCAAAGTTCACAAGGGGCAAAACCTTGTGAACTTTGCACTGAACTTCTATGCATATATATCAATTAAAAAAAAACATTCAAAGCATGAAATGAGAAAGAGAGAATTAGGACATAAATAGACACAAGACAATCAGGGAGATAGGAAACAGCAGGCAGACATAAGCAAACCAAGGTCATGACAAAAGGAAGTAAAACTAAATACAAGTCACAAGAAACAATTTAGTGCCAAAATAAAAAGAATAACTGGAGGTCACTACCATCTTCATTACATCTGATTCCCAAACAGCAAGGTGGGAAAAAACAGCTACAATTCTGAGTTAGGCTTCACAAAGGGACATCGCTAACGAGTGACTTATGTCACAGTGGCTACATGATGACCATTTTTTAAAACGGGCTGTGCTTCCAAACCTCAACG